CCCCCATCGCAACAAAGCCTCGGGGCGGCTCACTAAGAATACATAAATACATACATAATGATAATATAACAATTTAAAAAAATCATTCAAAAACCCCCGGTGCATTCTCGGCTAAAAATTTTAAAATCCTAATTAATTCAATAATTTAACAATTAAAATAAGTTTTAAATAAAAAGGTCTTAGCCTGGCGCCAAAAAACAAATAATGACGGCGCCAGGCGGACCTCTCTGGGGAGGTCTTCCTCTACGTCAGCCCAGCACTCCAAGAATAAAAATGTAATGTACAAGCCTGCAGTATTGAAACTAAGGCTGCAATCTTATGCCCATGCTTACCTGGGAGCAAGACCCATGGGGCTTACTTCTGAGTAGACACTTCTAGCTTGCACTGTGACTATTCCAGTTTTTCATATAACATGCTTAAGGTTACGATCCAGCAAATTCAGCACACGACACGATCGGTATGGCATTGACAGCACGGCTCAAGATGTTGAACCAAATGAAATAATCCACCTTTCTCTGCACATGCTCTCCTAGTAAGAGAAATGCTAGGGCCTTATTTAAATTCCATAATGACTCCTAATCCACAGAACTTTTCCCTGCCCAATTTGTGACAAGGACAGCAGCAGCAATCATAAACAGTTCTTTAAAACTGAGCTCAGTGTGCTTGGCATGCATTATTTCAGAAATCCATAAAAATACCTCATAAGACATTCCCGTCTTCCTTGCAGACTGCAGCTGAGGCTCAAAGGGAGCAGCTTGCCTGCAGCTGCCTTCTGCAGACTCAGGGTGTGAGATCGGGGCTTCCCCGTTTGCGGAGCCCTCCGCTGCCACACAGCTGAGCGCCTCACCCTGCTCCCGTGTACAAAGAGGGAGCTTCCACACCTCAAGCCCCTGACAGAAAAGGAGCACCTCTCCACTGTCTGGTGCTGGGCTGATCCAGTGTGGCAGCCTCCACGGTGAGAGCAGAGCAGCTACTTGGCCCCCTGCCCCCTTTCTCCCTCCTGGCCAGGCTTCTCCTGGATCTTCACGGATCCCCCCTCGATCTCGGCACCGCTGGCTCCTCACAAAGCCCCCATGCCAGTCCTCGCCCGCTGTCGTGTCCCAGCAGTGCCACCGCGGTGTCTTCATGGGGGCTCACCCCACAGCACTGCTATGCAAGGGCATCACCCCCATTCAGGCGGGTGCAGGGTCTTTCCCGCAGTGGGCCCCCGCAGAGAAGTGCTCCTGCGCTTTTCCAGCAGCCCTGCTGCGCAATTCCCGGGATGGGCTGCCTGAGCTCCGGGGGCGTTCCTTCCCCATGCCAGGGCAGCAAGAGCCCCAACCTTTCCCTGCCAGTGGAAGGAGCGGCTAGGCTCCTGGAGCAGTGGGTACGGGGTGGGGGGCAATGAGCAGCGAGAATGCTGGGCGGTGAGACTGGGGGAGAGGAGGGGCTGCAGAGATGCTGCCAGGAAACCTTGGGCGGGCAGGCCTGGGGAGCGGGCAATTCCCGGGCACGCGGCTGTGGCTGCCAATCCCTTTTGCAGAAGATCCCCACCCTGCAGACCTGGCTGGCCATTTTGCAGCGTCTGTGTGGATGCAGGAAGGGGGCTGGGAAACCCACAGAAGCGGTGCTCTCAGCTGAGCGATCGCATCCTGAGCTGTGGCGGTGCAGAGTGGCCTTCCTTGTCGCCAGCCCAGAAGCATGGAGACATTCGGCACCTCTGGTAACAAACGACACTGCAGCGTGCCCCCCCCCCCCCGCCCCGTGCCACCCTCTCCAAGCGGATCTATCCCCATCCTGGAAGCGCACTCCTGAGTGGCAGCCGCCATCCACTCCCTTGGGCGTCAAGGCATCCTGCCATCTCCGATCTCTGACAGCACGAATGAAGTCCCGGTAGGGCCGAAACCGTGCTCGGAGAGGCGGGAAGGGGAGCACAAGGCGACCTGAAGCCACAGACAACCTCGGATGCGTCGCCGCTTCTGCGCTCGGCCTCCGGCCGTGGATGCCGATGTCTGCACGTTTTGCTCAACGGTCTGAGACTTTGCTTTTGTAGTCGCATCTGAAAACAAAGTGCGTTGCATCGCCCATCGCAACTGTTGAGTTTCAACGCACGTGGGGTTTCTTCCAAAACAGTACAAATAAAATTAGCTGACAGCTTCTGACGGCGTCCGTGTGGATGGAGAGCGACACTTACGTCTCTGTCTCATTTGTATTCCGGTCACCCAGCCTCGTCCCCGCTTGGAGCCCCTGGGAGTGAAGTCCTTCCTCAAAGCCACCTTGGTCTCCAGTCCAGATCAAGGCCAAGGGCACCGGCTTTTGCTCAGGCTCATCCCAGCCTCGCTGCCCCCTCTCGTTGCTCCCTGCCCCTTTCACCTCAGAGCCCCCCCGCCATTCCCGGTTTTGGGACTTGCCCGCAGTGCAAGCCTGCTCTGTCATGGTGGCTTTTGCTGCTCTGGAGTGCCCGGCACACCGATCGCTCCCCGCCATGGTTGGAGGGCTCCCAAACCCTTCCCGGAGGCGCTCTGGAAGCCATCGACGTTGGGGAGGGAGGCTGCGGCATTTCTGAGCCCGAGGAGCCATGCTCTTCTTGTCTGCTTAGCACCCTCCTGGATGATCTCCTTGCTCGTCAGCCTCTGTTCTGAAACCTTCCGCATGGCTGATTTCTGCGGCTCATTTTTCCTTTCTCTCATCAGTCCTCTTTATTATTCTGTGACTGGCTTCCGTGAGATCTCAGAGAAGGTTTAAGTCTCTGCGTGGTTTTGTGCCACCTGAAACCTGTGTGTTGATTTCTTTATCCTCGCAAGAACTTTTGAAGAGAATTCCAAATCCTTTCTGTTCCTTAGGCTCTTTCTCTCTTGTTACACCGTAACCTCCAGGACGTTATTCCTCCAATGTGCCTTCAGTTGCCTCTGGTCCTTTAGACACGTACCCTTTCCTTTTGTCTTTTTCCAGGACCATCATCTTATAGAGTTAATGATAGCTTCCGGTCCTTTCCAATTTTATTGATTTTATTCATTTATTTAAAATCCGTCTTGGCCAATTTCTGGGCAGGAGCCTTCCCAGAGAACCACAGAACCATCCATTCTATTCTTCGCCTGTAATGTCATGGCATAGTTTTGCCCTGTTCCTCATCTTTCCTTGTTGTCTACCTTACCATATTGTGACAGTGAACAACTTGTGACTGTCCAGATATTTTGGCGTGCTGTGCCCATCATCCCCAACCAGCATAATGATTAGGGTCACTAGAAGCTGTAGGCCAAAGCATCTGGAGGACCGCAAGCTGCGCACCCCTGCAATCCCATGGCCTCCCAAGGGGCTGTCTGAAGTTCCAGGGATCCTGAAGCACAAAGCCACTGCCCGCACCCTCCCCAGTGGGTTTCCTGGCTGGCAGAGGTTGGCGCCGGGTCAGCGCAAAACCCGCCACCCTTCACCAGCTCAGTCGTAAGCATGCGAACGCAGCCAGCCAAAGGCTCGCGTGAGATGCCTTGAGAAGGGCCACCTGAGCAGGGGTGTCAATGAGCCAAGGACGCCCCTTCGGACCAGGCCACCTTCTGCTTCTCCTCAGAACCGCTGAAACAGTCACCCAGGGCACCACGGGCGGCACTCCAATCGCAATTTCAGAAGAGCGTCGAATGGCTGTGCCGCTTTCCAAGGGCTGGCGCTGCGGCCTTCAAGAGAACCTGCTTGTTGGGAATGGGGCGCAGAGGCACTGGCTCCCCGCCTAAGCAGCTAACGCAAGCTGCGCATGTGGTGCTCCGTGCGTCCCTTCTTCCTCCAGGCAAAGCCTGCTCTGAAAGGCAGCTTAGCACCCAGATGGACCGGCAGCAACTCCAACACAACAAGGGCTGGGTGCCGTCTGGCCAAACAGATCCCATCACTTGCAACCCTGCACACAAAACACGCACGTTTCTGCCCTCAGCGACATCAGGAGACGATCAGGTGGAGCCCAGCAAGGACACCGGGAGGAGAAGATATGGGACAGCCCCACCGAGACAGCAGGACGTGCCGTCCCGCCTTGCCGCGGGCTTGAGGGCATCTCCGTGTGCACCTAAATCCAAGCGTTAAAGGGTGCTCATACACCTGTGTCTGTCCTCTACACCCATTTCTGCCTCCTCTGCCGCTCAGGACGTCGTGCTCTCGCTGAGCTGCCAGGGTCAACCGCAAATAGGAAAAAAGGCGCCACGCGCAGGAAGCAGACATGCTGGATAACTCTTCACACATCCAGGCGTGTCCGCGCCTGGTGCACATGCAATGGTATAAAGGTTCAGGGAGACCGTGGGGTGGTCTAGATGAGACGACAAGGATGGAATGAATTATCCCTGTCAGGCACAGGGGAAGTGTGGTCCTTGGGGCTGATGGGACTTGGAGTCCAACACGCAGCATTTCCCCCAGCCCTGATCTGTATTGGCACAGTGCTGTAATTAATTAAGAGAGCTAAAGCATATGCACAACACGTGCCATTAAAATACATCGTTTCATGGCCATGTGATTCCGCCTGCTGAATCAGAACCCGGCGGCAAAGGTCACTTCCAGCACAAACGTGCCGAGCGGCCCGGGCGAAGCCACGCTCCCCGGACCTCAGGGACTCGGCTGCATGGTCTGGAGATGACGGTGCCGGTCTCTCTTAACGAGTGCAGCGAAATAACGCGGGTTGCCTGCAGCTGTCAGCTGCTGTGGCACAATCTGTGTAAATTTAAACACATCCATTTGAATTCAAAAACATAAATTTAAATTTATGTAAAATTTATGTTTTAAATAAATACATACATATGTAAGGAGCATGTGCTAAGTAGCAGTCACAGTAGAAATAATGGAAAGGCTTCCGTTCCTGTCCTCAGGAAGCGCACTGGGAATGCCCGCCCTACCACGGGGGGGGGGGGTGCTTGCGTGCCCAGGCCTGGGATCGCAGCTCTGCTCAGCCTGGCCCAGGCCGCTGGGCATTTGGTGACTGCGCCTGTGGGCCACCAACGTGCTGCATGGGGAGGCTGCAGGGGCTTGTGGTCCTGGCACCGGTGTGCCCAGCCAGGCCAGTGGGAGCCCTCCATTCATCCACAGCGACTCCTCAAGGGGACCCGTTTCTGCAGCCTGCCCGGGACCCACCAGACAGAGGGCAGCCAGCCACCGGGCAGCCCATGATGCACAACGCAACCTTGTGCTCAGGACCGGCACAGACCCCCCGATGCATGTGCACCGGTCTCCCGTCCTGGCTGGGTGGACCAGATGCAGAAGCAGCCCCACAGGAACAGGGCTCCGTTTGCAAAGCAGAGCTGAGCACAGCAGGGCGATCGAATCTTCAGGACCTGACATGCAAGCTTTTTGCCAGGAGGATGTGCTCCTTCTTTCACTAGCAGCAAATTCGATACCTGAAGCAGACAGAGCGAGCGCTCACAGCTGCCCCCGTCTCCCCTGGAGCAGGCCGGCCTTCGCCCAGCTTGCCACTCTGCTGAGCTGGGACAGACCCGAAGTTCTCAGCAGCTGAGTGAGGCCCTGTTGCTCCTCTTGAGTCACTGACACCTGCAGCCCGCCCTTTCCTCTGAACAGCTGTGTCGGCAGCACCGAGGCACCACTCCCACATCTGGCGTACTGGTGCAGTTACACGGAACAAAACTCCTCCGAGCCCGGCTGCTGGGAGCCGGGGCTGGAGACTCCTGGTTCCCTTCACAGAGGAAGATTTGCAGCAACACGGACCTTTGCCTAAAATGGAGCATGAGCTAAGTCTGGAGTTGTTTCGCATGGGAAACTTTTCAGGACTCCTGAGGGACATGCAAAGAATTTTGGTATGATGAGGAAAATTGCTTGGAAGTGGCCTGAAAATCATTCGGTTCAAATTGCAGGCTCACCGTAAGAAGCAAGTCGTAGTGCCTGGCCTGGAAAGATGTTAGTCCACGGAAAGGAAGCACGCTCTTTAAATATTTCATCTACACCCTCCCCACTCCTTTGCAGAAATTGGTTTCTCCGTGACAACTGCCTCCTCAACACGGCGGAGCCAGGGGCCTGGGGGATCCATAACATGCACGCAGAAGAGACACAGCCCAAGTTTCCAGACAGCTCTTGTGGAGAGAAATCTATCATGGAAATGTGTTTATCGGTCTGGAAAAGATGATGGATTGAGCTGGCTCTGCTGGGAGTCCTTCTTAAAAGAAGGGCTTCAAATAATTTAGGCTGTGCGTTCTGATTTTTTAAAGTTTACATCTACATTTATCCACAGCAGTGGCTTTCAGACCTGCTACCTTGCGGAAACCCTTTTCACCTGCACTCCAGCACAATGGTGGGGAGAGAAATAAAAAGAGCCAAAATTACGCCCCACTGACTGTCTGCTAACCTCAGTGGAAAGGAGGGCAGTGGGGCAGGGAGATCGGGCACCCCCTGACCCAGAGCACCCTTTCTTTCTCCAGGGGAGACCCAAGCGGTGTCTGGAGCACAGGCCTAGCAGGAACTGGCATCTGCTGGCCCCAAAACATGCAAGCAACACGGAGCGAGGCAGCGTAACCTCCAGCAACGTACCCCGGCTTCGCCGCCTGCTCCGCGACGGATCTGTGTAAAAGGTCAGCTGGGGATCATTGTCCGCCTCCGTCCCGGAATCCCCTTCGGGGTTCAGAAACGCAGAGCCTGCTGCAGTGAAACGAGAAAAGAAAGCGTTGCGCACTGGCTGCACATGTCTCCTCGGGCCGCTCCCCTCCCACTGAGCTGCTTCACAACCGCACTTTTATTGCTCTGTGGAGCAAGCGTTCCCTGCCGAAGTTACAGATTGGACTTGGCCAGCCCGGGCCCAGGAGTGTCATTCCAGGCGGTCTCCTGCCCGTCAAATTGTGGATTACACTGCACAGTGTTTTCATTCTTCTCGTGCTCATTTTAAAGTGAGCCTGCAAATTAGGGCTGCTGGTGAGGGGCATTCATCTCCCCTCTGTCAATTTCTAGCCCCAGATCATCACTGCAAAGCTGCTGCTTTTACCAAATAGGGGGAAAATATGGGAGCCCTGAATGTTCTTTCTCTCTATTCCTCACAGACAGTGATTCGGGGTGGGAATTCATTTGTTTATTACATGCTTATAACGCACCAGGGCTGAACCTCAAGAAGAATGGCCAGAGGGAAGGAGAAAAGTTTAAGCAGCCGGAATCTGCTTGCTCACCCTGCTTGGGGTTAAAACAGAACATAGACTGGGGGAAAACAAGGAGCTTTCTGTACGTGGAGTTGGAGACGTCTGCTCTCAAAAGAAAAGGCAAAGCGAGCAGGAAAAGTTCAGTGACGGCTGCTTATGAAAGCGGTCCTGTGTTCTAAAAGGGGAGGCAGCAGAGATCTGGCTACACCCCAGGGAAGGGCTTGTGCATGGCGAGCACGGTGGGCGGTGGGCAAGCGGCCTGCGAAAGGCTCGCAGCTATCGGGAGAGATGGGCGATTCCACCTGCCTGTTGCCAAGGTCACCAATCCCTACCTGTAAATTCCCGCCGAGTCCCATCTCTAAGCGTGAGACTAGAAATTATGGTGCAGCGTTGCCCAGGCAGGTGTTTAACTGAGAGGAAGCAAGCCAGGATACAAACATCTGTTTCTCTTGCCACCTGGTTTAGTGATGCGCTGACACTGCCAAGCGCGTTGGCTGAAAGCACCGCTCCCGGTCCTTTTTCCTAAGGCCATGCAGCTTTGGATAGGTTAAAATTTCCCTGATAGAGATGACCTGGGGAAACACTGTGGAACAGCTCTGTGGAACAGCGGTATGGCCAAAATAAATCAATTCCTAAATAACGATGTCCCTTAGAATGAAGAATGTGTTTCCAGGGCGGTCCTAACCAAACCGGGACTGGTCCGAGACGATCCCATGGCCACGTCATGCGGACCCCTCGCAAATCACCCCAGGAGACGTTGAGCACCCCAGGCAGAGCCCATGTTGAGTCCAGTGAGTGTTCCCACAGTGCTTCCCCAGTCCAAGGCCAGTGCTAGTTTGTGGCCAAGTGGGCCTTGGAAGTCCATCTCCCAAGAGCCAACTGGAGCAGATATTCTCCCTGCCGGCTGCAGCTGCTCTCAACTAGCTTCACCAATGTCCTCACCCAGGACAGAGAGATGCTGACACTGCCTGCAGCCTCATTCACCACGAGGCTCACACCAGAGTCCCCGGCCCGCCTCCAGGGAGCGGCGGAGATGCTGAGTGGCATTTCTGAAGGGCATCAGCCCCGCACAAAGCCCTCTTCTTGGACAATTAGCAGGGCTGCTTGGAAGGTTTTATCCCATTTGGTTCTCTCAAAGAAAGAGATGCTGGAGGAGGAGTGCTCCCACCACCAACCTCCCCCATTACAGAGGGATTTCCTACCGAAAACGGAGCAGACTAATTTGCGGAGAAGATATGACAGATAGAGGGAACTGGATCCTCGGTACCTGGGAGAAACAACCAGGAGAGCTCGTGGGCTTCCTGGCAGCCTCAGGAGAGACCAGGAAAGCTCTTCGCAGGATACCCAACCTGGGCCAGCAGAACACGCCCATCCCCAGCCCGCCTCGTCCAGAAGGAAGCGCTGGGGTACCTCGTGACTTGTTGTTGATCCGCTTGCGCTGGCTGCTGGAGGTGTGGGAGAGCAGCGTGGCCTGCTGGTGGTTGGAGTCCACGGGGCTGGTGGCAATGATGTTATCCTTGTACTTGTTCATCAAGGACAGCTTGGCAGTGTCACTTCCTGAACAGGAAGAATTTAAGGCAAAGACTTTGAGAAAAAGAGACAAAAAGGGGAGAAGGGGAAGAGAAGGGGGAGAAGGGAAGAAAGAGAGTTTTCATTTCCGGCGAGCCACAGGACGAGATCTCGGCAATGCAACAAGCCACGTGCCCAAGCAGAGACGGCTGGACTGTGACGGATACTGTGGCTGACTTTCTTTTGGGTCGAGGCCAAACGAGAGGCCTTCCCAGACATCAGGTGCGATGTTGGTCATGCCCTCTGGCCTTGCATAGTTCCTTGCTTTTATTTTAAAAACCACGAAGATTTGATCGTGGCGGAGCAAGGGGGCACCCCCTGCTTATGCCACTGCAGTCCCTCCCATAATTGCCACATGCCTGCTGCTCGCGAAGGAAGGGATGCTCCAGCGGAGGACCCCCAGCCTTTGCAAAACACCCAGAACGGCTGCCTCCCTCTGACCAGTCACCCAAAGCTGGCCAGCTTTTCGGAAGTCCTCTCGCTGAACACGTTTTACTGTCTCAAGCTGAAAACGCACGAGCAACTTGAAAGCCGGCACTTAGCCGGCCCATCTGCCCTCACTCCATTCTAGCAAACCAAGACCTGAATGTCCCATCGCCATTTGGGAGATGTGCCTGACCGTCCCATGCTGGAAAGCAAGCAGCACCTGGCACGACGTTACTTTGGCCACTGCCGTGGAGTCTGACGTCCTTCGGGCAGCTAAGCTGGGCATGGAGTGTGGGGCAATGGCCTCCGGGCAGAGCTTTCTAAAGAATGAAGGGCCACCTGAAGATTGCACAGCCGGGCTCGCTCTGGGCGGCCACATTTCACTACGCTGAAAAGAGGAGGAAAAGGCTGGATGCGGGCGGACGCCCCCTCCCCCAAAGAGACCACGGATCGTTGGCTGAGGTTCAAGCTGAGCTGTAAGCCCGAGAGCATGGAAAGGTGTGCACCTGCGCATCACGCGCAAAGCCCCCGCCCCCCCCGAGGATGTTTCAGGTGCGCACGGGTCAAGGCGCTGCCCCACCTGGTGTGAGATCCATGCCCGCCTTCTCGTTGCAGCCTTGCAGGGAGTCGAGCGTCCGCGTGACCTGGCTGGCGAAGTCCTCGCCGCCGTTCATGCACTCGCGCTGCAGGTGGTGGCGCAGGTCCGTGATGTCGTACTCGTAGCCATCCAGGATGGGCGTCTCGCGGATGCTCAGCGTCCCGCTGGAGTTGTGGCCCTGCACGCGGGCGTTGCGCAGGCTCTCGCGGCCGTGGCCCCCTATCAGCACGGAGGGGATGTAATGGATCTCGTTGGCTGCCTCGGCGCTGGCGCTCTTCTGGGGCTGCGGCACACGGCGGCGCTTGCACCAGCGCCGGCGGGTGTAGAGGATCATCACCAGGCACAGGATGGAGAGCAGCAGGGCGATCATCCCCCCCTGTGGAAACCGAGGGGGCAGTGGAAGTGGAGGTGGGAGCGAAAGGGGTTTTGGGAGGCTTCGAGGAAAAGCGCAGCGGACTTGGAACTTGCCTCTTGGCCATCCCACCTTGTCTGCCCTCCAAGACGCCTGGGAAGGGCATGGAAACATTCATTCATTCATTCAGTCATTCATTCTTTAAAATATTTGCATGCCACCTATTGTGCCACAGCACCTCTGGGAGTCTCACAATCCTAAGATAAAACCCGCAGTAATTAGGATCACCATGTTCTTGATTGGATTAATAATCCATGGCAATGCATGATTAAATTAGTCTGTTTGCATATACTTCTCAGTCGGGATATACTATAAAGCAAGCAAATCTGTTTAAAATGCATTTCACAAATAAAGTGAAATGATAGAAATCAGTAGTGGTTCCTCTATACTCCTCACTAGCCAGACCTCACCTGGAACACCATGTCCAGTTCTGGGCACCGAGATTTAAGAAAGATGCAGGGAAATTAGAAAGGGTCCAGCGGAGGGCAAACAAATGATCCAGGGTTTGGAAACACTGCCCTGCGAGGAGAGACGGAGAGAACTGGGCATGTTCAGCCTTGAGAAGAGAAGGCTGAGGGGGGGCATGAGATCCCTTTATAAGTCCCTCAAAGGCTGTCACAAGGAGGAAGGTCAAGATCTCTTCTAGTTGATGCCAGAGTGTAGGACACGGAATAATCCATTCAAGCTGTGGCATCCCAGATTCAGGCTGGACCTCAGGAAAAGCTTCCTCATGGTCAGAGCAATGTGCCAGTGGAACCAGCTGCCTGGAGAGGTGGGGGGCTCTCCCACACTGGAGACATTCAAGGGGAAACTGGACAGCCGTCTGAGTGGGAGGGTGTGAACTGGTGTCCTGCAACAGCAGGGGTTGGACTTGATGGCCTTCATGGCCCCTTCCGACTCTACTATTTTTTATTCTTATTTTGCGTATAATTTTTGTAGCGGGAGAGCCCCCCCCCCCCCCCCGGCAGCTGGTTCCACTGTCATATTGCCTTGGCAGTGAGGAAGCTATACAAATAATATAATGTGGTCCAAAGTAGCTACAGTGCAGGGAAGAGGTTGCACTGAGCTTGCAGACAAGCTAATTATGGGCAACGTTGTATATTTTTTCAGTGGGTGCGTGGGAGGAACTGTGTGGCAGGTAGGGCTGCAAAAACAGCTGACAAAAGTAGCCCACGGACCTCCCTCAGCCGCCCACCCCTTGCACAGACTGCAGAAATGCTCTCAGACGTTTAAGCTTCTTGAGCTGCTTCCTTGAAGCCTTAGCCTTCATCCCGCTTTGCAGTTGCGCAGAGGTGCCGAGGCTGAGAGAACGCCCACCATGTTGCCGGACGAAGATGCTGCTAAGCACACAGGAGAAGCAAAACCAGACGTGGAAACACGCTCAGAACACGAGAGAAGCCCTGCTGGATCAGGCCCCAGGGCCGTCCAGGCCAGCCGTCTGCACCCACAGGGCCCCTCCGGCAGGATGGGTGCAAGACCACCTCTCGGCCAAGCTCCTCCCAACGGGTGCATGCAGGTGAGTCCCCTCTGGAGAAGCTGGCAGCCCACGGGCAGCAAGGCGAGCAGCCACGGATCGCCCCCTCCTCCTTGAATTTGACCCTAACCGCAGTGGAAGGCAGAAGGGCACAAATCCTGAATCACAAAAATTTGGTGCGGCACCAGCAAGCCCCCTAGTCTTAAGCCTATGGAGTAAGACGTAAACTGGAACGCCAATCTGCAGAACTTGCCTTCCCTCAAAGATCTTGCAAGTTAAAGAACAGAAATATGCAAGTAAGTGACCACTAACCCCAGCTTACAGCTTCAGGCCTATTCTTGGCCTTATTCCCTTTCTTCCTCTCTTGCTTTATATGCAATGGGCAAGCTTGATTAAATAAAATAACCATCATTTGCTCCATTAGGAAAACAGATTAAGCAAGAATTACTAAATGGGCAACAGAAACAGCGGCTGACAAAGGCTTTTTAAATGGCTATTATGTTTCAGCCGCCCCCCACCCCTCCACTCTCAGACTAATGGAAAAGAAATGCTCTTATTCCTGATGGAAGGAATGCCAGCGGAGGTAGCAGTGGAACAAAGACCTGACACGGTCCCAGGTGCTGCGGCCAGGTACGCTCCCACTGCTCTCCAGGTGGTACAGCAGTGCCAAACCTTTTGCCATTTATGTCAACACAGCAGATTTTCTTGGTGAAGTCCATCAGGAAAGGAAAACCTGCCAGACAAATCAGAATCGGGACTTTGCGCATCATTTGAAAACTGGTCCAACGCTGAGGCTGAAATCACTTGGGGGTGCAAGCAGGATTGTTAAGCCAGTTGCCTGCTGTGGGGCGCAAGGCCGGGGCCACGAGGGACGTTAGGTCACGGATCAGCACAATGGCCCTCCAGAGCCACTGCTGCTCTCGATGCTAACAAGCCCCGGTCTCGTGTACCACGCCGGTCCCCACGGATGTGGCACATGGGAGGGGAGGGCTGGCAAGAGTGGCCCCTCCTTCCGTGCAGCCCCTGCCTGGATCAACAAGCCCCCTGCTCCGGAGGGACTGGGACCACTGCCCCCAGAAACCGTGATTCGGCCTCCTGCAGTACTGCCCTGACTCTGGCTCAGAAGACGAGGGACCAAAGACGCGGCTGAAAGGCTAATGCAGCGGGGGATGCACCAGGTGGGTGCCACAATCAGACCGTTTCAAGTCCTGTGGGAAACTCTCACAAGCAGACGGATGAATCCGGTCGGTGTCAGGTTAGGGCACAGTTCGGGTTACGTGGTGCATTGGACTGTCCAGGCGAGCGGCCATAAGCAGCAGGATCCACCTGGGGGAAGCGCTGGGTCTTTTCCACTTTGGAAGGGAGGCATTCGATTTAGAACCAGCTTGGCATCATTAAGCCACACTCTCCTAATGGCCAGTATTCTAATTTCCCTATGTTCCTGTGTTACTGGCTTCTGCAGCACTGCTCTTTCATGCCACAGAGCCAGCTTAGCTGGTCAGCTTTGAAGGCTTTTCATTAAAAAGGCTTTTCGCCCTGAGCTGCTTGGAAGGAGCGGGTGAAGACCCAGCTGGGGTGGCGCTCCGGACAGGGGTAGATTCAGCCAGCACTGGGAACGGCAGCCGCTGCTTCCAGGACCAGCGGAACGCTCCCCTGCCCGCCTCCTCTCAGGTATCTGAGTTGTCACACGCCAGGTTTGCCCCCTTCGCACTTCCAAAACACAGACCATTTCTTGGCAAAAGCTCCTTACTCTGCATGGCACTTCCAGGAAGCAGAACTGAGGAAGAATGAGTCTCTGAGCATGCACAGAGCAGACTGTTGATCCCAATCTTAGCAACCACTTCCCAGCATTCTCCTTTGGAGCAGCCCTGGGAGCCCTCCCTCTGGAATGTCCTTCCTGGAGGCAGGCAGGCCTCTCCTTTGCCCCTGCCTGTCTATCTGGTTGGCCTGCTTCTCCCGACGCCACACCATGGGCCCAGGAGGCGCGCCGGGTTCAGCTGGCTGCAGCAACTGTGACCCCACACCCCTTCCTACAGCTGCCAGTTCTGACTATTCCCAGCCATGGAGTGGCATACAAATGCGATAAATGAATAAGTGAATGCCTGCAGAGAGCAGAGCTTGGAGGCTGAGCCCCACGCAATGGTGGGCCAAGCAAGACCCCCGGGGCTTGGAGGGGACCTCTGCAGGTTGGACGGGTTGCTTCTTTCCCGAAAACGGGGCTTGAGTTGCACTCTGAATCTTGCAGGTCTGCCTTGCGCGGACTCGCTCCGTCCTTCTAAAGCTCGGTGCCAAGGAGAGCTGCAGGACAGCAAATGTTGCACCTCCTTTCCCTCCTGCCTGAAATGGGCACGGAGGGTCACCTGCTAGTCAAGCGAAGTGCGGAGTTGTGTTCTGAAGGCATGCGCCAACCTCACTCTGAAATGTCAGTGTTCAAGAGAGAGACCCTGTCAGAAACAAACACCAACTATAGCTGACTTGTGAATGCCTAATGGGTGAACATTTCGTGTTGCTTTAGGAATATGCTATAATTATTATTGCAACATTAAATTTATATCCTGCCATTTTCCTCTCATGAGGAACCCAAGGCGGCTCCCACAGAGTCATGTGATCCTCAGAACAACAACCCTGTGAAGTAGGTTGGGCTGAGAGTAGCGGCTGGTCCAAAGTCGCCCAGGGGGTTTTGGGGCTGAGCAGGGACTGGAACCCGGCTCTCCTGGAGTCCAGTCCAAGCCTGCTCTTCTTACGTTGCTCAGTAGGTTTCTTTGCTCACCAGTTGGAACATATGAGTGTTAGTCTTTAAGAAAAGACAAGAGATTTCCTTTGACAATTTCATAAAATGCCCCCGAGCAGATGGATGCTTTGCTGCCCCTTTCATGGCTGCATCTCCCAGACCTGCTCTGGGTGCCTTGACTGCAGAGTAAACTGCAACCGAAGCAAGATGTACTTCCTTCCTTCGCAGCCACTCTCTAATCCCGGAGAAAGGGTTAAGCGCCAAGCGCCACTTTCGGTGCTCTCCAGTTCTGCTGAGGACACCCGCCCTGAGCGGTTTCACTGGCGGTTTGGTCAAAGTCACAATGGCCGAACATGGTCACCTAGCAACCGCTCATTACACTTTTAAAAATGCAAATATTCTCCTACAAATGCCACGTATATATTCTGGACCAAAATTACCACCCACATAAAGCCAGTATGAAACTCAACTATTCTCATTCCAGTGTTAACCTAAAAGAACCAGTGTGGGAGGCTTCCCTGAGAGGGCCACAAAATGATCTTGCGTTCCTAACCCTTTATGAGCTAAGAAACCTGGTAAGGAATTCTCAAAACTATGACAAATGATGAGGGAGGGCCGACAGAAAGCTCAGCTCCTTCCGCCATGTCTCTTTGTTCAAGGAAATGAAAGAAGAAAGAGGCTTTTTCACCTCAAGCAACGCTGTCGCTGGCCCTGCTCATCTGCTCCAGCTGCCCCGCTTTCAAAAGGATGCCGGCAGGTTTGCGAGAACTCGGCACAGAGAGCAGAAAGACAATTAAGCAGTCTGGAGTAGCCGACGATGGAGGAAAGATGGCTGAACCTGGAAGGGCTCAGCCGAGGGGAAAGAAGATGAAAGGTGGTTACGGCCGCTCTTTTCAAGTGCCTAAACCTCTCCCGCTGTGAGGGAGAATGGCAAATCTTTGCAGGGATGGCCGCGGGAAGAACCAGCCCTGGGAGCAAAGGGTCCAGGTGGCAGGAAACAGTGCCAGTCAAGGTGGTTGCGCTGGCTTTTCCTAACCGCTCCAAGTGTTTCACTTGCGTTGTCTTCGAATGTGTGTACTTCCTTCTCAGGGGAGTCCAGGCAGAACCAGGTTACAGCCAGTTTATCCTTCAAATGACCTTACACAGTAGGAGGGACTGGGGCTGGAGCTCTCCTTCCCTTTGCTTGCCGACCTGCAAACACCCCGTTTAGGACATGGGCTCCAGACCTGGGGAAAGGCGAGGCAAATGTTACCTTGTCGCAGGTTTTACTCGGAAGAGAGCGCAAAGGGACCTCAGCAGCTCCCCAGTCATGTTAGCAACCACTCTGTAGCAGAAGCTGATGCTGCTATTCCCAATGTACAGGTGGAAAGGTAGAGAGTGCGTGAACAGCCTCCCTGCTCATCACACGTGGAGCAGAACAACTGAAGAAAGAAAGAGAGGAAAGACGCCAGGTAGCCAGCAAGCCCTGTGCTTGGAAGTAGGTGCAACTTAGCGCAATTCAGCACTGCAGCTGAAGGAGCGTCTTGCGTCCCGAATGAAGAATCTGGCCCATGACTCAGGGATTCTATCAAATTGTCAATAGAGCGCCTCGGGGCCAAAAATGCTCTAAATGCTCTCTGCAGTTTTTTTTTTTTTTGCCGTTTATTAATTTTTCTCCAGGACTAATCAAAAACAAAACATGAAGGGAGAAAGCTGGCCCCCGGCAGCAATCTGGGAGAGTTATTGACATTCTCATTAAGGCAGGCTTCATTAAACAGCCCTGTCCTCAGTATCAGTGCCGCCCGATGACACATCGTCTCCAGCTAATTATCTTTCGCCGGCAAAGGGAACTGTACGATTCTTCAGCATCGTTTAAAAAGAGAAAGCTCTACCTCGCCGGCATTGATCTTTCCCCCTTTGCTCACCAGCATCCACTTGATTTTTTCCACTAATCATCTTTATTTCTCTCCTTCTCTCAACGCTTCTTCAAGAAAACCAGAGGAGTTTCTTCAGAGCAACGGCTGGGAGATGTTTCTCCCCATGACGGGGCTGCCTCCAGTGTGGAGTCTCTGCAAAAACCAAACTCAGAGCCACTGGGAGGGACGGTACGTCTGTTGTGGCTCCGTCTTTGTCGCTGGAGGCCCAGGTAACCTCAGCGGCTTGGAAGCCCCTGTTCAGCTTTAGCTGGTGCGCGATTCCCACTGGGACCGCCTGGCCGCCGTGACCTGTGCCCTCAGACCCTCACGCGCACGCTGCAGCCCCTGTGCCTGGCTCGAGGCAGCAACGTCCACAAACACGGCAGCTGGCTCCTCCGTGGAGCACCTCACCGCACACCGCGCGCCACCTCTGGTGATAAAATGGCACTGGCTGGGAATTTTAATATCTCAAGCAGAAGAGGGGTATTATGAATAAGGATGGAGCCCTGCAAAGCAGAGGAGTGAGCAGTGGGAAAAATGGGTGGGGGGGGGCAAAGCAGAGGGCTCTTCTGGGAGGCACACCGTGGAGGGCCGGGAGAAGAGGACTGTCCTGGAGCAGACAGTCCTGCTGGGGAAAGTTGAGAGCAGGATGAGGAGGGACAGAAGAGCCAGGCCAAACAGGAGAGGGGCTGGCTCCGGCAAGGAAGCCACTGCTTAATTTAGAACAGCTAAGCCAGGTGGGACATTCTGGGGGGCTGCCATTCAAAGGACTGGCACACGTTGGAGACATCTGGGTGGCACACAGCAGCAACACAACGCACCTCGGAGGCCGGGATTCCCGCATGCATGATGGGGAACATCGTGCAGGACACAGCGCCCCGTCATGCGACCCACTTCGACAGTGGACGCAACCAGAGTACAAAGCAAGATGCTCTGCATCGAATGTAAGGAGCTTAGTAAGAACATCTGCCGCCCACGCTAAACGTTAAGGTGGGGGGCTTCCCGGTCACAGGTATTCTGTCCTCCAGCACAGCATTCCCTCTGGCAATCAGAAGAACACAAACCTTCACTGATTGATGGACTGAAAAGGTGAAGGTGCTGCTTGATAAAAGGATTAGCCCAAAAGCTGTTTGATCAACAGCCAGAGCAATAAGCATGTTCAACCCTCTCTCCTCCTGGCCACAGGTCTCCTTCCTCGCAGCCCTGCTCCAGGGCTTTGTGACAGCGACTCACTTCATTGATGTTTTAAAAAATGCTACACTTATTCATGAAGAAAAATGCTATCAGCTGTTCTTTTAGGTAGGACCTAAAATTGGAATCCTCATGCATGGAGCTTAGACTTCTCCGTTTATCCCCCATCCTGCACGTGAAGTGGCGATTCCCCCACAGCTTCAAGGGGATCCTTGTATATCCGGATGTGGATGCAGAGAGCTCCCACCCACATCCAGGAAAAGATCCTGACTGATCTGCAGATGTGGAGACAGTCTTCCAAATGTCAAGCACATGCCCGTTGGGGTGCCGTGGCGGTTGTGTGTAGGGGCTGTGCTGGACACGCCATCCACGTGTCCTTTCAGTATTCGCAGCTTTACGGGCTTACTTGAACTTGTCTCCATAGCGCTGTAGCTGTGCTTTGAATGAGCCTCAAAAGGCACTTCTGTGCTTCCAGAATTCCTCACATGTTGCCCTCACGCTCCTCAACCTATAAGAGGCAGAATCTTGCAGCTATAAGAGGCAGAATCTTCTGCAAGAAAGGGAAGAGTCTTAAGATGCTGATGGAGTCCAACGGGCCACCTACGCCTGCCTGCCTCTGGGTCCTTTCCACACCGCTGAGTCCCTTCTCTATGCAGAGGGTCCTATCAATTCTGTTGAGCCAGTGGGACCCACACGTGTACAAGGGAGATTCAGAGTTTCTGAGGGGAAGTCCAAATTAGCAGAAGCCACAGGTAGCGATTGTTCATAATAAGGACTTGCAGCTTTTCCCAATAGGAAGCCTCCCCAGATGCATTAGACTCCCACTCCCATCATCCTCAGCATCACAGATATAAGCATAACAGGTAGGATTAGAGGCATGAGATCTAACAAGTTTCAAGGGAACTTCTTGCTTCCCTGGAAAATCCTCAGATATTTTCCCTGTGAGGAAAACCTTCTCATTTGCTCTGAACCTTATTTTAGGTTAAGGCTGAATGGATAGCATGTGAAGCCTTGAGAAATTTCACAGCAATTATGGAAGCTGAGGTGGTTTCTCTCAAAATACGGATTGCCTGAAGAAGGACGTTCATATTTGTTCCCTACTTCCCACTGGGCAACCTTTCAGTAACAACTGAAGGTGTAACTATTACCAGGTGTACCTTTTTGACAACAATTCCACTTCTCAATAATGGGACAGGATGCAATGGTGCCCGATTCCAATTCGAGGGCAACGCAGGCACTCACCATTACTGAGATGTGAAGGATCCTCAGCTCTTCTTCTGCCGATTCACTCTGGGGCTCTTCAGTGGGTTCCAAACCAGGCAAATTGGGAGCACCATCTTGATGGTGGATATGAAAGAGCAGAGTGCCATTTTCCAGCCACTGTTGCCTCCAGCGCACCAACGGGATATCTTCCGTGTTGCCTGAGATCTCTGTGGGTGAGGAAAGAAGACTCATGCAACCAGCTGAACAAATGAACCAACTCCTCTCCCATGAACACCCAGATACCTTCCTAGAAGAACAATATTCCCTGAGTGATCTTCCTTCAACTCACACCTCCATGTCTGGCACAAGTGGGCAATCCAAGATGCTTTGCCTTGCCATAGCCTTCGGCCCTTGCTGACACAGAATGGTAAAGGCTAGTGGGAGGTGTAGGCCAAAACATCTGGAGGGCCAGATGTAGCCCGCCCCTGAATAAAGGGATGGGTATGGCCAGCTTATCTGTGGGTGCTTCTGAAGGAAAGATGTTCATGACCAATGTGATGGGTGTGTGAAGTCAAGTCCCTGCTGACGTGCCACTGGAACCAGGTGATTTGAGGCAAGCCAAGCCTGGCCAAGAACCAACCTGGCTGCTGCATTGTGACCTCACAAAAGACCACAACCTTGTCACAGACTGACTCATGAGAGCCTTGGCTCACAGCTGGACCCATCCATCAAGGTGACCTTCCATTTTTCTGGCCTGCAAATCAGCCATGTTTCTGCCCGATTCTCACAGTAGCATCGGCCCTTCCAGCTTGTGTTCCACTGAAAAATACCTTGATGACCCACTCAGATAAGCACCTCACTTTTGAGGACCTTTATTAACCACAAATATTTTCTGCTTCGCTTTCTCATCACATTTCTGCATTAGGCCTTTCTCCCTCCAGGCTCCCATCCTGCCCTGCCAATGAAGAAGCAGCTCCCGGTAAGAAGGGCAGACTGCTCGGGTTCGTCTTTGTCAGAGGTCACACAGCAAGGTCCCTTTGGCTGGGGCGGCAAGTGGGGACTGCAGCGCAGCCCACAGCTCTGGGCCAGGGATCGCTGGCACCCCACCCCCTTGCACTGCTGGAGCAGGAGGCTAAGGGCGACCTCAGTGCCCCCACTGGCGTGGTGAGCCAGAAGACCTGGCCTGGCTCAGCTTCAGGGGAGCCTGCTCTCCATCCTTCGTCTTTGTCCACCATTCATTCATTCATTCATCGCACAGCCTCGGGACGGCTTACATAAATAAAACAAAACATAATGCAGACACCATGTTCCCACATCTGACGGACACCTGGGCTGCATCTGCCAACTCTCCCATCTGGCTTATGGATCACCTCCATGGGCTCTCCAGCTTGACCCTCTGGCACACAGGTTGTTAATCTCATCTTCCTTATTAATCCTGACTCGCTGTGATGTAATTTAATGATCCCACAGTTTCCCCATTTCTTCTGGAATGCTGGCCCTGGGTCCCCAGTGAAGAACCCACTCCCTCTTCTAACCCCGTAGCTGGAAGGACTTGCAGATTTTGAAATAAATGTTTTTAAAAATAAGATTTCTTCATCCCAGAGATCGCCAGCGCCATGCTCCTCCTTTTGCTCCGGCACAATTCAGTGAATACTGCACTACTTGGCATTCGTAGGATTTGGAGACAAACATTCAAATGCCCCACAGTTCTTCATGAGGAAAGCCGAACTTGGCATGCACACAATTAAGACTGCCAGCAAAACGGCGTGCGTGCGGGTGCACCCAGTCGGCACATGAAACCCCAGCTAAATGCAGCCAGAGGGATTGAGTATCTGGGCCATGGTGCAAATCGGTCAGGTGGTCAGAAAGTCAGAATTACTCTTTAAAGGGTTGTCTCTGGGACAAACAGAATATGCAGAGTTACTAGTTTATAATACTGATGAGAGCCAGAACTCACAAGCTGCCTCCAACTAAAGCAGACTGTAGTTCTTCCGAGCACGCTGCCACTGGGGATCTGCAAGGAATCTGCTTTGGGGGTGGGAATCCATCAGATCCCTGTGAATGGCTCCTTGGATTCCAGTCCACTTTGACACAGCAGTGAGTCCGAGTTCCTGGAGGCTCGCCCCGCGTTCCCACAACGAATGCACAAGCGGGATTCTCACCTTTGCACCAGATGTGGCCGCTTTGCTTGCCCTGCCGCACGTGGAATGGATGAGGGTGGCCACACACAGGCCAAGGGCAAGGCCCCCACCCCCAATTTGCTGGCAGGATGGGGAACACCTCAGGGGCCATGGATTAGCCGCACTGGATCACAGCAGTGCTCCGAATGCGGAGCGAGTGGGTCTGGCGGGGCAGAAGAGCTGGTGAGACGAGGGCAGCTGCGCCACGCGCTGCTCTCGCTGAGGACCGCATCCATCTGCCACCTTCTCCATCGTCACCTTCACCTTTCCTTTCTCAGACGGCGGCCACTTGCAGCATCTGCCGCCATTACGAGCACCAAACCGTTTGGGCGCTTCGGAAGGCCACCTTCCTGGAGGTGCCAAGGCCTCTGGTCTCCGCTGATGCCGCCAGACGTCGTGTTCTGAAGGGTAACGAGCAATTTCCCTTCCTGTTATTAACCCCTGTCTCCAGCAGGCTATTTTTTAATTCGGATGTTAGAAGTTAATACTGATGTTAATGGCTTCTTCTCCAAGCCTTAATGGAAGCCACTCGGGGGAACCGGTCCTTCTATCAACCCCTTTGAAATGGTGCACGTTGCTTTTCCGGGTCCTAAACCTACCTTCCCACCATCTAGAGTCAGGAGCTGTATCATTTGCTCACGGCAACGCCAAAAGGAATGAGCGAATGCTACCCCAACACATCATTTAACATGCCCAGGTGCCGAGAACAGGCAGCACAGCGCCAATGCAGAGAATCGCTGTCCGTCCAAGGCCCAAGGCCATGATCAACGCCGCTCTCCCCCAAGCGCTGCCATTCCATTTTTAACTCTCGTGGGGTGGGGAAGGGAGTGGAGCTGCTTTTGGACCCTGGGGCCCACAACCGCCTTCCGTCCCACCACCCCCCGCCCCTCGTGCCCTCTGCCCCCTCTTCATTCTGCAGGGACAAATCCAGGACTGGGCTGCGGGGCTCAGGGTGGGAGTCCCAGGGCCTGCTAGCGAGTTTTCTCACCAGGCAGCAGCCACTTCTCCCTGCTCCCCGCCAACCCAGTAAACCCCTTCCAGGCATGGGGAAAAGGGAACACCTGGCACCCTTCAGGGAAGCGGTGGCTATTCCAGCATAATACTTTAAAATAACTTAAAATGTATGTTTTGAGATGCAAAGATGAGAACCCATCTGTGTTTTGGGGGGATGCAGCCAATGAGGATTGCTCTTACTCACAATGTAACTTTTTAAAAAATGAAAGGTACACCCCCGAAGCAGCGGGAGAAAGCATTGGCAAGCAGTGGTCCTGCTACAGCCTCTTTGATGGGCTCGGAGAGGGAGGGGGTCCTGCCCATCCTCTTGTCAGTTTTCTAAAAAACATGGGAGGACTAGCAGCTGCCGGTGGAGCGTGTCCTGAAAGCCCTCTGTGAATGATTACTCTGCTAGCTGCCAAATGCACTCTGCACCGGAGCAGTTGTGGTGAGACGTCATGGAAGATCTGAGCAAAACACCGAAAGGGGAAACACCTTCAGAGGTGGAACTCGGCTCAGCCGCAACAGGCCCCGGGTTCAATCCACAGCCACTCCTGGCAAGGCACAGAAGATGTAGCCCACAAGCAATGGAGAGGCGTCCGCTCCAAAAGATGGAGGCGGCCAGGGGAAAGTGGGCAGAGTGCAGCACGTCCCTGTGCCCGTGGGGCCATGAAGAACAGCCGCTCGTGCAACACGATTCCGGCCGAAAGAGCAGTAGCCTGTGAGCTCACCCACTGCGCAGACCCATAAGCAGCAGGATACACTTCAGATTAAAGGAGAGGGGAGCTGGCCTGAGGAAGGAAGGGGTGGCCACGCCTCCGAAAATTCCGCATAGCTCCTGAGTGATTGCTCACCACGGACAGATTCAGGAGCAGGTTCTTATCACCCATTCCTTGCTCCTAGAAATTTGAAAAATTCAGCATGCCCAGTGCCATTCAGCCCAATTTTGAGACCAGGGAAATTCGGGGGTAGGGTTAGGGTTCGGAAGACAAAGGGCCCTGGCGTCATTCCGAGGCTTGGAACGTGCTTGGAATGGGCAGAAACAATCAGCAGGGCGGAAAAATTCCAGGAAGCATGCCATCTAAAAATTCGGGATACCCTGAGCCCTTCAGCTGAATTTTGGGGCAAAGGAAAATTCGGGGGTAGGGTTAGGGTTAGGAAGAAAAAGGGCCCTGGCGTCGTTCTGAGGCTTGGAGCATGCTTAGAATGGGCAGAAAGAATGAGCTGGGTGGAAAAATTCCAGAAAGCAGGCCATCTAAAAATTCGGCATGCCCTGTGCCCTTCAGCCGAATTTTGGGGCCAGGGAAAATTCGGGGCTAGGGTTAGGGTTAGGAAGACAAAGGGCCCTGGTGTCTTTCCGAGGCTTGGAACGTACTTAGAATGGGCAGAAAGAATGAGCTGGGCAGAAAAATTCCAGAAAGCTGGCCATCTAAAAATTTGGCATGCCCTGTGCCCTTCAGCCGAATTCTTGGGACAGGGAACATTCGGGGCTAGGGTTAGGGTTAGGAAGACAAAGGGCCCTGGCGTCGTTCCGAGGCTTGGAACGTGCTTGCAATGGGCAGAAAGAATGAGATGAGCGGAAAAATTCCAGAAAGCAAGCATCTAAAAATTTGGAATTCCCTGTGCCCTTCAGCCGAATTTTTGGGCCAGGGAAAATTCGGGGCTAGGGTTAGGGTTAGGAAGACTAAGGGCCCTGGCGTCGTTCCGAGGCTTGGAACGTGCTTAGAATGGGCAGAAAGAATGAGCTGGGCGGAAAAATTCCAGAAAGCAGGTCATCTAAAAATTCGGCATGCCCTGTGCCCTTCAGCCGAATTTTGGGGCCAGGGAAA